GGGGGGGGGGGGGTCAGGAAACAGAAGTCTAGCAACCTTTGAGCTCAACTGTCTATCGCAGCTGATAGTCAGAGACAGAGGTCCCCTCCCTGTATGGGTACATACTGCCTTACCTGGACACCAGGGATTGAAGAGGAGGATGAACTCCCCAATCTGGTAGGCTGTGACAGATCCCTGGAAGGAGTCAATGTGAATCTTCAGGAGGTATCGACCGACAGGGGCCATGGGAGGGGCACAGAGGCTCACCTCCAAGAAAGTGGCCCCAATATTGTTCAGGGAGGCGATCCAGGGGCTGGGGCCACCATGGCTTGCCAGGCTGAACACTGCACGAGTCCCCTTGGACAGGTCCGGCAGAGGGCCTGGAGAGAAAAGGAGCAGAGATTTTCTGTGGTGACCTCTCAGTTCCCTGGTGCCCACCACTCTCCAACGCGCGCACACACACACACTCACAGAGAGAGAGAGAGACAGAGACAGAAAAAAAGAAAGAGAGCGTGAGCGAGCACACTTATGGGTCAGCTGTTATCCTTACCAGTCTCAACCACAAAGATGACATTGTCCCGGCCTGGCTGGAAGCCCCGGCTTCTGAAGTACAGGGTGATGTTAAAAGCCTGGCCCCGACGGACAAGGAGGCGTTCAGAGCTGATCTCCTCTGTGTGGTGCTGCACGTTGTTTGAGGAGCTTTGGAGGTCTGTGAGGGCCACCTCCAGGCCTGAGTGAAAATAGCCCAGAACAGGTAAAATAGCAGGGTTATGGAGCCACTCTGAACCTAATCACTCCTTCCTAGCTGTGAAAACTTGAGAAAGTGACTTGCTTACACTGGTAAAATGGAGTTCTCAACAGTAGCCTTACAGGATTGGTGTGAGGATTAAATGAGGTTCTATACCTCTATCTTTCTCCCTCATAGGCTTCTCTGACTCCCTGCTCCATGTTTCTTGACACCTCTCCTGGTGTGTACCACTTCCTGCTTCTGTACAACTCTTTTATTGCCCTGGCCGGGTTTGTATGTTCCTTCCACTCTAGATTCACACTGGCATCTCATTTTTTAACTGACGTTAACAGTCCCATTTGTCCCAGTCCAACCTCTAGACATGGAATCAAGTCTCTGTTAACTGGCCCTGGATTAATTGGTCCTGGGCTAGCTGCCCCTGGGCTATCTCTGAATTAGGTATCCCTTAGCTAGTTGCTCTTTTTTTTTTTTTTTTTTTCAGCAATTTGCTGCCTTTCTAACCAATTAATGTCGTATGTCCAATGCCCTGGGAGCTTGGATGCTGAAGACAAAGTAAGGCCCACTTCCAGCTTTCTGGAGCTTCTGCTAAAACATAAACTGACTTTGTTTCTAAAGTTCACCCTGTTTAACCATAGGCCTGTCATGGTCCCCAGGCATCTGAGCTCATATTTTTGAGTCACAATTGTTTCAATCATCTCATTCTTAGCCTGTATCCATTCGTGTCTTACTATGTCCCTTCACTCCTTCCATTGAAACATCTCTGGTATACAGTCATATCTTTCCATACTACATCTGTGATTCTAAGAGCCTCCTTTAGATTTCTATCTCCTGTCTTTCTCCATACTACTCCACCCATTAACACATCATCAGATTACCTTTCCTCAAGACAATTTGATCAAACCATCCTTTTGCTTTCAAAGTCCAGAGATAACCTAGAGTTCACAATACAAAAATAATACTCTTCAACTTGACTAGCAGACTCTTCATTCCTGGCTTCAATTACTCTTGTATTCTCATTTCTCACCTTTCTCAGCATGACTCTGCTTCTCCAGCTAATATTCCTTGAAGAAATGACATCCTTATCTGTCTATATACTTTATCCTTCTCTAGCCCTATCTCAGAATATGAGAATATGACCCCCCCCTGACCAAGTTCCAGCTGTCTTTCAATTCTCAATTCCTTCATGAAGCTTACCCCTCTTCCACACCTTTTCTCATTTCCAACTGATCTGTGACAGTAAATTGCATCACTCTTTGGTAACTTTATGGCTTAATTGACAAGTCCATTTATAAGGAACGCTCATTTATACCAATACACTTTTACTGAGCATGTACTAGTGGCAGGTTCAGCGTGAAGAACTCATGTTTTTCTTAGTCACTTTTTTTGGTCAGGCAGTTCTGGCAGCATAGTCCATAGGCAAGCTATTCTGCTAACCCAAAGGCCCCACCTCTCTGGCAGTTTGAACCCAACAGCAGCTCCTCAGGAGAAAAGTGAACTCTCTCTTTCTATACAATATACAGCCTTGGAAACGCGAGGGATGGTCAGCTCCAATTCTATGACAATCACTTTGACTTCTTTCTTTTGTCTTCTACTACTACGCTTAAGCCAATGGAAGATAGAGATCTGGCTGCCTTATCTTGGCTCTATTTAGCTTTTTTAAAATATGGGGGTGGGGGGAAGCCAAAGCATTTTAAAAATCCAGGATGTTTTCTTGATAAAAGCACTCAAACTATGAATAAAAGGGAAATTCCTTAGCCTAAAAATGTTGTCTGAGGAAAATCCACAGATAACATCATACCAATGGTGAAAGACTAAAGGGCCCACTCAACTGGCCCTATTCTAGTTGTAGCATATGGCCTGACTACCCAAAATTGTGGCCGCTTTTGCCTGACAGCCCCTCAGGTATGAAAACTGGGATTGTCTACTCCTCTGGACACTCTACAAGGTCAAGTTATCTCTGCTTATCTCACAAAGATTATTTTTTACTTTAGATGCCAGACATTCAAACAAAAGGTACGTGTTTAATATTGAGGGTATTTTTATGCTCCTTGAGGACTAGAGAGAATGGTTAAAATGATCGTGGGCTAGAGAGGAGAGTGTAGGTAGAACTCTTAAGATTTTCCAAAGAATACTATGTTGTCGTTATGTGTAGACAAGTCCTAACAGACTCATAGCTGACCCTCCAACTTGTTTTCAGAGACTATAAATTGCATGGAAAGAGATTGCCCATCTCTCTCCGTCAGAGCATCTGGTGGATTCAAAACTGCTTTCCTTTGTTTTAAAAGCACAACTCTTTACAAATTAGACAACCATAACTCCCAAAAGTTAAAAAAAAATGACATTGTATAAAAATATATACAATAAATGGTCCTATGAAGATATATACATTTATATGCATATGTATGTGTAGATGGGTGAGTATGTACCCCTGGTGACATAGTGTGTTTCGTGCTGGATTGCCAATGAAAAGATCTGCAGTTCCAATTAACCAGCCACTCTGTAGGAGAAAGGTGGGCCTTCTCCTCTCATAAAGATTTAAGGTCTCAGAAACTTGATGAAGAGTCCCTATGACTCAAGATTGATTACTGCAGTGAGAGATTTGTGTTTTGGTTTATATACATGCAACACACAATCAAATACTATATACTTCTATTACTATATCTACATATTTTACATTTGTATACCATTATGTAAGTATACCATAAGATGTGCAGATGTGTGTACTCACATACTACACAATCAAAATCTTATATATTACATTGAATACATATATGAATATAAACATTCGAATAAGAAACTAATAACAATGGAGATAAAACTAGGATTGAGGTTTGCAATCACAGAACCGTGGCTTTTTTATTGACTTCTTTTATTCCAACTATGTATTCACATATTCCTTGTGTAATTAAAAACCATGAAAACTTAAAAAGAAAAATTTAGGCACAAAAATAGTAAATGAAGGTGAGGCTGTAATGAGAGTAAATGACAACGAAACTAGAAAAAGTTAAAAGTGCTTGCCTATAAATTATCTCAATTAATCATTTAATCTTCAAAGCAGCACTTTGTAAAGAGAGGATGATGATGATAATAGAGGGAAGAGGAGTGGTGGGAAGATTAACTAAAATGAATGACAGATCCTCTAAAGTGGATCAAGAAGGAAAGGTATCAAAGTTCAGACTTTTAGAGTTGGACGATAATTTCAAGGCTGTCTTATCCATCCATCTTCCTTCATTTTTCATGGAAGGGCAACCAGAGGAAACAGGATTGACTTAATGTCAAAATGTCAGCTAGTGGAGGAGATGAGATCTTCCTTTGCCTTAATCCCTGGTCCTGCCCCATCCCACGCCTGTGGAAGCAGACGTCTTGGGATAAGGCTGTTTGGTTGTGTTTACCTGCTGGCTTCCACCTTGTCTCCTGGTTCGCAAACCAGTCCTAAATTGTGACGTTTCTTGGCTTTCTACTTTCCGTACTTCAATTCTTTATTTACTCTTCTGTTTCTCTGGATCTACCTCCCTTGACAACCCACAGCCTGTCTCCATCCTCCTAAGTTCCTGCTCTCCAGCAGTCTTCCTTACCTTGTGCCATTGTGGCTGCCTCTGGCTCCAGTCTGCTCCCTACAGAAGGACTGAGTGAACTGGAGTTTCAGGAAACGGGTCCTGGAATGTTTCCTTCCCTCTCCATCCCATAGACTCCAGGAGACACTGAAGGCAGGCCCGGGTGTTTCCACCTGCTTACTGGGCAGATTGCAACTGGTTTTCTCACTTGCCCTCAGGTTTTTCTTGGCAGCATTGTTTGGCTGAGAGGAGGCGTGGAATCCAATGAACTGTTGGGACTCTGTGTCATGCGGCCTCTTGGGCAATGATGCATTCCCTGGCAGGTAGAGTGTAGTGGTGAGGAGCCAATGGAAAAGTCAGATGAGAGAGCTAAGGGGTTGGGGAAGTCAGTATCCCTATAGGGAGGAGCACTGAGGTCCCAAGGCCCACAGCTTAGAGAACTTCTGCATCAGCGCTCTCTTCTTCATGATAAAGAGTCTATACACACACACACACACACACACACACACTGGTTTATTTACAAAGTTCATACACATTGTTTTTCACACCAGATATTTCCCATTTGCTTCACCTACCCCTCTCTCCATCCATCAAATTGTGCAACCCTATGATTAACCACCCTCACCCATCCTCACCCTTCTGATCCTACCCCCCCTTGGATCTTCATACTCATTCTATAATAATTGTCTTATACAATATTTATCTTTATGATGCTGAGTGAAATATCTCAGTCACAAAGGGACAAATGCTATATGGTGCCACTGTTGTAGAATAAAGCTGACATCGGGGTGGGGGTAAGACTGAGAAAAACTGGATAAATTATGTTTACTGCATTGAAGTCTATGAGGGAGAGAATAGTTTAAAAGTATTATATTTTAAGGCATTATGTTTATCATAAGAGTACGGAATGAGGGTTGCAGAATGGATTATATTTGGGGTGGGGTAGGGGTGGGGTATGTGCAGGGGGGATTGTGTACCAATGAAGGAGTTTTTCTTTTACTTTTCAAGGAGAGGAGCGAATGGGGGCGGGGGAGGCGGGAAGAAAAGTGCAACAATGAATGAATGGAATTTAAGAAAAAAGTAAACTTTTAAAAATGTAAAAAAAAAAATGTCAATAGACAGAAACCAACTCAAAGTGAATCATGGACCTAGGACTAAAACCAAAGACTATCAACTTCATTAAAGAAAAGCTTGGAAGAACTCTAGAAGTCCTAACGCACAACATAAACAGTCTTCCAAGCATCCTGAAAAATCTACAACCAGGAGAGGATAAAATAGATGAATGGGACCTTCTAAGAATCAAATCCCTAAGCACATCCAACTTCCCAACAGGGTAAAAAGGGAAGCCACAGACTGGGGAAAAATAGTTGGTAATGACATGTCAGACAAGGGACTTATAGCTAGAATTTATAAACTATTTGAGCACCACAACGAGATAAGGGTCAATAAACCAAATGAGAAAGGGCACAGGATATGAACAGACACTTCACCAAAGAAGACATTTAGATGGCACACAAATACATGAAGAAATGTTCAAAATCCCTAGCTCTAAGAGAGATGCAAATCAAAACAACTATGAGATGTCACCCCAGTAAGAATAGCAAAATTTTACAGAGCAGCAAACATCAAATGCTGGCAAGGTTGTGGAGAAACTGGAACCCTTATTCACTGTTGGTGGGAATGTAAAATGGTGTAAGCACTATGAAAGGCTGTATGGCGCTTTCTCAAGAATTTGCAAATAGAAATACCATTTGACCCAGAAATTCCACTACTGGGAATATTAAAGAAACCATAACTGCCACCCAAGCAAATATATGCATACCCATGTTTACTGAGGCTTTGTTCACCATAGCAAAGAGTTAGAAACAATCCAAGTGCCCATCAACAAACGAATGGATAGAGAAGCGGTGGTATATTTACATAGTGGATTACTACGCTGCATTGAAAACCAAGGAACTCATGCAGTATTATACAAAATGGGTAACCCTGGAGGACATTATGCTGAGTGAAATATTTCAGTCACAAAAGGACAAATACTGCATCATGCCACTGTTGTAAAGCAGGACTGACCTTGGGGTTGGGGGGAGACTGAGAAAGATGGGATAAATAATGTATACTGCATTAAAACAGATGAGGGAGAGAACTGCTTAAAAAGGATAGATGATCCGGTATTATTGTCATGATAGGAATTCAGAGCGAAGGCTACATAGTGGAGTGGACCTGGGGGTAGGGACTGTAAAACAATGAAAGAATTTTTTTTACTTTTCAAAGAGAAGAGCAAATTGGGGGGAGGATTGGGAGGGGAGGAAAGTGTAACAATGATTGAATGGAAATCCAAAGTCTCTGTAAACTTTCATTATAATTAATAAAAAAATAATTGCCAAAAAAACCCAAACCAATATTTGTCTTTATGGGACTGAGTTAGTTCACTTAGCATAATGCTCTTCAACCTACCCTACACCCATGTTAGGTAGTAATTTACAGAATCATTGCTCCTGCGTGCTGAATGTACCATAATTTTTCAATTCATTCAATTGATGTTGGACATTTGGGCTTTGTCCATGTTCTTATGATGGTGAATAATGCTGCTATGAACATTGGAATATATGTCTCTGTTTGTGCTTCAGTTCTCATTCTCTCAGGGTATATTCCAAGCAGTGGAATAGCTGGGTCTTATGGATTTTCTATGTTCGGGTTTTTTTTAAGAAATGCCAAACTGTCTTTCAGAGTGGTGGTACCATTTTACAAACTCACCAACAGTGTATAAGAGTTCCTATCCTCTCCAACATTTATTACTTGCTGTCCTGTTAAACTGTGTCACTGCTACTGGAGTAAGATGGTATCTCATTGTGATTTTTATTTGCATCTCTCTTATTGCCAATGATTTTGAACATTTCTTCATGTGTCTATTGGCTGTGAAAAGTCTTTCCACGTCTGTTGCCCATTTTGTAATTGTGTGATCAGTCTTTTTCTTGTGGAGGCCCTGTAGGATTCTGTAAACTTTTTTTTAGAACTAAGTCACAAATGAAGACTTGTACACCCATGTTCATAGTAGTGTTATTCACCATCACAAGAACATGGAAACAGCTCAAATGTCCAACCACAGTTAAATGGATTGAGAAATTATGGAACATACAAATGATGGACAGTACTCAGGAGCAATGATTTTTTAAATAACTACCTAACTTGATTCTCCTCCTGTGCCAAGCAGATTCGACTTGACAGAACACAACAAGGGGTGGGCTGGAGAGGGAGATTACTCCTTAACTTGGGAGAGACTAGAGAGCATTATGCTAAATGAACTAACTCAATCCCATAAGGACAAATACTGTATAAGATCATTATTGTAGACATAGATAACTAGTAAAACGTGTATGAGGATCTAAGGGGGTAGGGAGGAGGGCAGGGGTGAGGCTTGCGGGGGGGGCTAACATAATCATAGGGTCTCACAATTTGATGGGTGGAGGAAGGGGTGGATTATGGAAATGGGAACTATCCAGTGTGAATAACAATGTATACAGAATTTGTGAGTAAATCAGAATAAAAGAAAGTCACTTTTTTGACATTAAATGAGAACAGAACCCATTTTGATTCAATCTTGGTATGGTTTTACTTTGTTGTTGTTGTTGTTATTGTTGACTGCTTTGTCTTGGGTGGAACCTACCAACTCTAAAGTGAATTTCAAATAAAAGCAGTGGCGGGGTGGGATTGAGAAGATTCATGTAGGAGTTTTTGGATGAGATGAGAAGGTGGTAATGCCAATAAGTAAGGACCTTTATCCTAGAAAGAAAAATCCTTAGTGTGACTTGTAGCTTATAAATGGGAGAGCAGAGGGGAAGAGGTTGGAAAGGGATCTGGCAAGGTGGGGATGGGGATATTCTCAAGTGGGCAATCTACACCCATTCACACCCACAATTTGCTTTTCCCTATGTGGGACACTTCTTCTTACACCCCTCAGTTATCTGTGTCTCTTATCCTCTCTCCTCAAAAACTCAGTCACAAGCATCCATTCTCCCTTGTGAGTTTTCAATACTTTCTGCCTCTAATCAGCTTTTATTGTACATACCAGCCATCATTAGTTATCATCAAGTTAGTTTCAATTCATGGTAAAGCAATGTGTGTCAAAGTAGAAATATGCACGATAGGTTGTCCAATGGCTGGTTTATCTCAAGGAGTTGCCAGGCTTTTTTTCAGAGGTCTTCAAGAGTGGACTCCAACTTTTCAATTAGCAGCCAACAACACTAACCATTTGCACCAAGGGGAACTCCAGTGTGCATGCACATGCTTTTACAATTCACTATCCTAACGCACTGTCCTTATAAAACTTCCCTCTATCCCTTGTTTCTCTTCTGACTCCTCCCCTTTCTCTCACCTCCATCTCCCAGCCAAGCACCTTGTCCACTGCTTTGTCTGCCACCCACTCCGCATTCCACTGTATCCTGGCTTCTGTCCCTTGACTGCCTTGAAACCACCCTTACCTTTCTTCTCTGACTGCCAAGCATCAGGCATTCTCTCTGCTTTTACCTTGCTGGACTTTTGTCACCCTCACTGCTCTACTTCCTTTGAGAAAACTTTCTTCCTGGACTCAAATTACTTCTTTCTCTCTCAGCTCTTGCTTTCCCTGTCCATTCAGCCTCTTCTTAGTGCCCTTTACTCACACATGCCGGTGCTTCCAGGGGGCTCATACTACAGACACCACTCCTGGCTTCACCTCCCACCTGACTCTGGTGATTGCTCTGATCTGTGGAAATGTCCACATCTTCCTCCACACATTCTCAGTGGTGCAGGCACCACCTGCTGGACAGATCCACCAGGCTGACACTGTAAACCCAGTATTTTGAAATAAAACTACTCCTCTTTCTCTCTCCTCTCCTCTCTTTACTTCTCCTTTCAGAAAAGACCTGCCCTTCCTTGTGTAGCACAGGTCTTGGTGCCCACAAAATCACTCCAGGAGACACCTGAGCACAGCTTTGTACTTCTCCATCTTTCCAGCCTCCCAGAACCCAGCAGTCATCCAGTCCTGTCCAGTCT